GCATTTACTTTTGTTGTCAACATGTAATACTTTTTGTAATGAACACTCTGATAAATGAATATATGGTTATTTCTCCTATGTCTATGGGTATCATGAATTATTGGTTTGTGTATTTAATTTGAGGGCGTTACAATGGAGTTGAGGGAGTCTCTGGATTTTTCTTAGGGTTGAAATGTAGGAGATGTAAATACTGACTTTGGGTTTAGCATATCTCTACTGGGCTTTGGCTCACCCTATATGGGACATTATTTTCAGATACAGGTGATATGCCGCCTCCAAGGTCTTAGCTTGGGAGGTTTTGGGAGTTGAAGACTCTTTTGGTTATTTTCCTTTTGTTTGATATTAAATGTAAATTCAAGCCAAGGGCTTAATGTGTTTAGAGTTAGAACTCTCTTTTGTTCTAACCAAGTATTGACTTGGAAAGTTGTGAGCCCGTGGGGCATTTACTTTTGTTGTCAACATGTAATACTTTTGTAATGAACACTCTGATAAATGAATATATGTTTATTTCTCCTATGTTTATGGGTATCATGAATGATTGGTTTGTGTATTTAATTTGAGGGCACTACAACGGAGTTGAGGGAGTCTCTGGATTTTTCTTAGGGTTGAAATGTAGGAGATGTAAATACTGACTTTGGCTAAGACGAGGGAGAGCTCGTAAAATGGCATTATGTGGCCAAATGCAACAAACGGAACAAGGACGCCATGAGTCTCTGTCTCCATTTTTTCCGGCGAAGAGAGTTTTATTTTTTTGAAGTTGTGAAAGTTTTGACTAGTAAAAGACAAACAGAGCAGGAATACTAGTAAAAAATCGTTAGATATAGGCACAACATTTGGGAATGGAAAGTTATGTTGCATGACCTCCATTTAAATATTGGCACAACAACTAGAAATGATTGTATTCATTTCACTATATTGCATGTTCATAACACTCAATTTGTTCATACAAGTTTAGATGCACAGATTTTCCTTTGAGCTATTGAATTCCTCTATCTTTTATCAGGAAAATTTCTCTGGTTTGATTAAAACAATTTTCTCTAGTTTAAAAGAACAAACATAGAGAAATTTATGCTAAAATTTCTCTGGTTTGAACCCAGAGAAATTCTTTTATCACTCAATTTGTCTACATCCTCAAGTTTATGCAAGTGAGTTTTCTCTATATACAAACATATATTCCTAATTTTTTTTCCTAACGTTGCATGTGTAGTTGTTATTGATAAAAATACATTTATTTATTTATTTATTTATTTTTTGCTTTTAGATCATTGTAATGGCATTGATTACAATACTCTATTGATATGCCACAGGTAACAAAATCTAAAGTATTAAACAATTGATATATTGGTGTTTGTTTGGATGTTAGTAAACTACTTGTCTCAAAGTTATGTAATCAAGAACATGGTAATAATTGTTGAAATATGACCTACAGGAAATGAAAGAGCAAGGTGCAATTGAAGATTGGCTTATGCTTCTGAAGGGTATTAGTGGAGCTTTCAGGCCGAGTGTTCTCACAGCCCTAATGGTTGTCAGTGGTACTGGTAAAACTACTCTGATAGATGTTCTGGCAGGTAGGAAAACAAGAGGATATGTTGAAGGTAAAATTACAATTTCTGGCTATCCAAAGAAACAAGAAATAATAACCTTCGGCTTCAATGGGGCAATGCTATGGTAAGACCATTCCTAAACTTTTATTTATTTATTTTGTTTTTTTTATCCATTGAACATTCTACATTTGTTATGTTACTGTTTTTTGTTCAATTTTCTCTGGTTTGATCAAAAATATAAATTTTCTCTACACAATTTTCGCTAGATAGAGCCACACAAAGCCACACAAATTGTCTCTAATACAATTTTCTCTGGATAGAGTCATCTTTACACAATTTTCTTTGGATAGAGCCACACAAAGCCACAGAAATTTTCTGTAGCACAATTTTCTCTGGATAGAGCCACACAAAGCCACACAAATTTTCTCTAGATTTCTTTCGTACTCGGAGAAAATTGGTCAAAATGGTGGTTGTTCAATTTTCTCTAGTTTGTTGTTGTCTAAATAGCTTACAGTTTGGTTTGAGCAAAAACACAGAGAAAATTGGTCAAAAACACAGAAAACTTCTCTGGGGAGTCCAGAGAAATTCTGAATTTCTCTGAAGAGAATTTCTCTAGAGGGAAAATCTATAGGAGGTCTAGAGAAATTCTCTAGGAAGTACAAAGAAATTTCCAGAATTTCTCTGAAGAGAAAATCACTAGGAGATCCAGAGAAATTCTTGAGAAAAAAATCTCTGGAAAGGCCAGAGATTTTCTGGGTCAAATTTTCTCTGGATAGATGTTGAGGGACCTTAGACATTATGAAAATATTGGGTGTCCTTTATGCTATAAAATCTTAATACTATGGACCTTAAAAAAAATTCCCGATTAATAATTTGAATACGTATATTTAATAACATATTATGTTTAACCAATAATTTATGGCATATCATTATGATACATGTGAATATTGATCTCGTTCTAATTGTAGTAAAATAATTTAAATTTTAATCTAAATTAAAAAATTTATTTTATAATTTAATAAAAGATACATAAATTAAGGAATGGATATTGATCTTATTCTGATAACATAATTTAAGGAAGAATCTAAAATTAAAATTTTATTCTTAGAATATAAAATTAATTATAAATCAATCATATTACGACATATATTAAAAAAATTAAACAAAAAAGAAAAAGAAAAAAAGAATTGCAACTTTAAGCTTTAATAGCATGACAACGTTTTACAATTATAATAGTATATAGATTTTATATGAGGTTTTGAATATCTTCTTAAAAGTATTTTTTTTTTCTTTGTAAAATATATAAATAATCTCCACGTCACTCTTATTGCTTTTAAATACAAAAATTATGAGCTAATTATGATAATTTTAAATTTGTATTTAAAACTTACAAATTATGGGATAAATTATTATAATTTTAAATTTATATTGTGCTATTTTAAATTTGAATTAATAGATAACTTTCCATATTTAATAACCCTCAAATTTGAATTTTGAAATGGATTAATATACTTATTTTCATTTTTTTTTTACATTGATATACTTTCCATTTAAAAATCAAAAATCATGGGATATTAATTTTTATTTATTTATTTTTGCTTGAATAAGAGATAGTCAATAGAAGATTTTTTTAATTTTTTTTTTAAAAAAAAATTATAAAATTTACATGGAAACTTGGAGCTCTATAAGGCTTGTGGGTTAGAAATCCCTTTTTTTCCTTATATAATATATAGATAAGTGCACTTATTTAGATCACATCATTTTTCTATTTTTCTGTATATATTTTCATAAAAGATCAAAAAGTATATTTATTTAAATCATTCCAAATAGCCCTTTGTTTCATAAAAAAAAAAAATCAAATTAATTGAATATTTGTAACACATAACAAAATCACATTTTTTTCTGTAAAAAAATAAACGGCTACATAATTTTGATAATATTTTTAAATATAATTATAACTCGATCAGTTACGAATATCTGATTAACTTAATTTTTTATATAGATTATATGTTCGACAAATGTTATATTATGAACGGGTCAAATAATAGGCTCGAAACTGGCCCCCACGGGCCTCGTAACAATTACCGTTGTTAAGCGCTATTTGTGAGTTCGGCTTGTTAAGTGCTTGCTTTGTTACGTAAATAAATGAGTTCAAATTAAATTTTTTGACTAATTTAATAAGTCTCCGTTTGGGAAAGAAGGTTTGGGCTAAAATAATCATATAACACAAAATAAGTTATTTTAATTCAATAAAACAAAACATCACATCTAACCCATAATCATTACATTATTCCTCTCACAAAAATTCAAAAAAGTCAAAAAGCTCTTTCCAAACGAACTTTTTAGCCTTAAGCTAAAATAGTTAAAATGTCAACCAACTTCCCAAACGAATCCTAAATGAGCTGAATTTGAGATCGAATACATTAAACTCATAAAGTGTAACTCATTTATTTTATTTAAATTATAAATAAATATACTAATTATATAGTCAAATAATATAAATAATAGTAATAAAAAAATTATTATTTGATTATGCCTCCGTTTGGGAAGTGGGTTGGCTTTTTGGCTTTTTGACTTTTTTAGCTATTTTAGCCTGGGCTTAAAAGCTTGGTTTGGGAAGGGCTTTTTGGCTTTTTGGCTTTTTTGAGTTTTTTTGTGAGAGAAGAATGTAATGATTATGGGTTGGATGTGATGTTTTGTTTGTTATGGCTAAAATAGCCTATTTTGTTTTTTGTGGCTAAAATAGCCAAAAAAGCCTCCAACCCACCTTCCCAAACGGTGCCTATGTTTGGTTTAGTTTTATAATAATGATTTAAGTGTAGAGTTGTGTTTTCAAACATAAGTTTTTGAAATGAGTTTTAAAAATAGAAAATTTATTTAGTTATGAATTTTGAAATGAGTTTTAAATTGTATTTTGAATAAAAAAATAAAAAATAATCTTAAACAACAAAATAAAAAAAAATATTTTTCTGACTTTTTTGTTTGTTTTAAAAATAGAATTTTGAATTAAATGTTTGATTATAAATTTTAAAATATTTTAATTGAAAACATAATTTCAAAATAAAAGCAAACGCAATCCTTTTCACATGTTTTGTTTTTGAATATTTTTTTAAAAAAAAAAAAAAATTGGGTTTGGAGCCTAGTTGGAAACAAGAAAGTGATTTGAAATGGTAGAACACTAGAGTAAAAAAATATACTCTATATACTAGTTGGAATTTCCCAAATGAATCTCTGTGTCTGTCTTCTTCTTCTTCTTCTTCACCTTTCAAAATCTCTCTATCTCTCACTGAGACTTGTGTTGCAGTCTCGGCCCACCACGTTCATTTCAAACTTCCATTTCATCTCCACGTTTCACCACCACTATCTTTTCATTTTGCAAAAGGGTTTCTCTCAAAATCCACAATTCTCTCACCCAGATCGTATACTTAAAGCTCTTTGATAGATTTATTTAAAAGGTCAGATCCATTTCCTTTTCCTCTTTATTTTCTCTATCAACCATGACATTACCCTTTTCTTGTTTCTCTTCTCTTTGGTTACTGAGAAAATTATAAAGGAGTTAGGATTTGGTGGGTTGGTACTTGTTTGTGCTGAGATCTGATGATGATGATGATACACTTCTGCTTCAGTCAGTGCTTTGAAGCAGGGCTTATTTAATGTGTTTGATTGGGTATTTATTAGTAGGTTATGATTTATTTAATTTTTGTTGCTCTCCATCTATGTTCTGTTCTGATCTTCTAAGCATTGATCAATCTTTTCATGTGAAGAATGTGACTGTCGGTTGTGTAGTTAATTTTTTGTTTCATTATTGCTTCTGGTTTTGAGCACTCTTTATAATCTTTTGTTTATCATTTCTTGATCATAGTAACAAACTAGGAGAAATTACTTACTAGTAGTACCATCAAAAAATTATTACATAATTATCAAAAAAAAGTTTATAATTTTAATTATTAATATATATAAAGTTTACCACTTATATGTAATTGTTTTCTTCTTCTTTTTTTTTTTTTTGAAGCCGCATCCATCCCATGGCCCTTGCTTACTTTTGATTTAAAATTTGACTTTTTGAAGAGTTTTTCTTTTTTTTTTTTTCAATTCTTACTTTCTAGATTTTTTTTAAAATTTTTTTTTTATCATAAGATTAAACTAAGACTATGTTCTGAATCATATGGTTCTAGCATTTGGATTGAAATAGAATCACTTTGCTTGGTTATGGTTTTCAGAAAATATCTTTTAGAAAATTTTACTATTTTGTTTTTCGATTTTTTTTTTATTTTTACTGAATTTTTTAAATATTTTTAGCAATTTTTTTAATTTTTAGACATATCTAACATAAATATACTTAAAAAGTAAAAAAAAATTAAAAAAAAACCTTTTAAAAATTCTCTAAATACCAAAAATATAAAAAAAAAATACGAGAATTCAGTACATTTTTTGTATTTTTATGTATTTATTAATTTTTAAAAATATTTTTTCACAAAATTTTTACTTTTTAAATACATCTAAGTAAGGTACATCTAAAAAAATAAAAAAATATTTAAAATTTTAAAAATATTTACTAAAAACAAAAAAATACGAAAATCAAGAAATTTAATTTTTTAAAAATTTAATTCAAAAAATTCAAACCAAATTATTTTTTCTCATTTTTTATGGAGATGAAAGGCTATTTTAAATGCATTGATGGCTGATGCAGATGGATGCCAAAAAGTGGATGAGGATCTACTCACTTTTACACTGCCCTAGAAAGCATGCGCACCACGATTAAAAAGGACTTTTCAAGTAGGGGTTGTTTCAGAAACAATGAGTAATACTCTCAATTTTTATTTTTGTTTTTTAAAGTAAATTACACTTGCACCCTCTGAAATTTGGCTTTAGGCCCATAGCTCAGAAACACTACAAACATGTAGGATGTTGAATTGTAGATACTTTTTCTTTTGTTGATTTGGCATGAAACCCTAACAAAATTTGTGCTTAGGTCTCTTGAAAGAATCTTCCTTGAAGAAACTCTTTTAGGTTTTCTTAAATGTAATAGTTGTTCTTTCTTTGTGCTTCTATTTGTCATTATGTTGTGGTTCCCAAAGTTTGTGCATGGAAGAATTTGTGCAATAGGCTCCTCCCCTAAAATCCTCTAAATAAGAATGCTAACTTTTCCACCATCTTTTGGGATTATAGCCTCATGATTTATCCCCATCAGTAATTAGATTTTGATAGTCCCTTACTATATTTATTTGCTAACTAATGTCTTTTTACTTTTGATTATTCCTTTGCTGGTGCAGATCATTGGCTTTGATTAATTAGCCCTATTTGCTCTTCTTCAATTGATTGCCATAAGTTGATCAAATGCCAAGGTCAAGGTTAGAGAACTTATCAATATCATTATTAATGCAGCTCCTTTCATACATTTCAATTTTTTTTTATTGCTATAAACCTAGTCATTTGGTTTTAGAGATTATACGTTGCATCCCCATGCCCAGAACCTATATTGTTAAGTATTGCTTCTTCGTGCTAACAAAACCAAGGCAAATAAATTTTATTAACCTTTGCATTAGATGATTATCTTCAGAAATTATGACTTCTTTCTTTTGGCATAATGGTTTTTGCTGGAAGTTAATTCATCTCATATGTGTATTAGGGGATCAGAAATGCCTCAAAAGCAGTCTTCCAGAGGCCCACTCAGGGGATCAAGCTCTGATTCCGATCCACTACATTATCGACCAGTTACTGATAAAAGCTCCAAGCTAGGAGATCGTCGATCACCAAGAGGTGCCCAATCTGATCTCCTGAACCAAAAGAAACTTGGTACCCGCATTGCAGACCTAGAATCTCAACTCGGGCAAGCACAAGAAGAGCTCAAGATTATGAAAGAACAGCTAGCCTCTGCAGAGGCATCAAAGAAAGAAGCTCAAAAACAACTGGAGAAGAAAACTCGGAAACTAAGTGCTCCGGATGTAGTGGAAGTTGAAGACAAGCATCCTCCAACTGAGGTCCAAGAGTCAAACAAAACAGACGACAACAACCCACATGAGATTCCCGATGACAACCAGTGCGAAACTGATGTTTTTGGAGTCCCAATGGAAAAAGTGTCAGTGGAACCTAAGGTTGAATTCAGCGAACAGATTGATCAAGAAGATGCTGAAGAAGCCAAACCAATTAGCATGTTAACTGAATCACTGGAGACACAAAAGCCTACATTTGACGACTTGGCCTTGAAGAACGATGAAATAAATTTGTTGAAAGCTAAGTTAGAAGAGAAAGAGACGGAACTAGAAGTTTTTTGCCAAGAAAACGAGAGCCTAAAAGGTCAGCTCAATGAAGCAGCTTCGGAGATATCAACAGGTCAAGCCAAGGAACAGGAAATGACTTTGAGGTTGAGCCAACTAGAACTAGATCTGGAAGACAGTAGAGCCAATGAAGTCAAGTTGAAGGAGAAGCTTGAAGCTGTGGAAGGAGCGAAGGAGGCGTTGGAAACCGAAATGAAGAAACTGAGAGTGCATACAGAGCAGTGGAGGAAAGCGGCCGATGCTGCAGCCACAGTGCTTGCCGGTGGCATGGAGATGAACGGCGGGAGAAGAATATCAGAGAGGTGTGGGTCCATGGATAAGCAGTCTGGAAGTGTTTTCGAGCCATCGGTTGGTGGGTATGGAGGCTTTGTTGGTTCACCTGGTTTGGGTGATGATTCGGACGATGGGTTTGGGAGAGGAAAGAGGAAAGGCTCTGGTATTAGAATGTTTGGGGACCTGTTGAAAAAGAAAGGGCAGAAGTAATCTTTCTCTTCGTTAATTTAACTTTGAAAACCTCTCTCATTTCCATCTTCTCTTTGGTTATATTGCATTTTGGTTGGCATTGTGTTTATGTTTGTGCTGAGATTGAGCTCTCCAAATCTCTTGGGATGATCTTGCTATGTATGTTGAGTTCTAATGGGTTTTGGAGGCCACTTTTGTAATGTATCAGCAGCAATCCATACTCTTAATGGGGGATGTAATGCCCAATGCTCTTTCTAAAACCAGTCAAATGTTAGCACAAATTTGCATTAAATTTGATCCATTGGCTGATTTGCTTCAAATTCAACTCGCCTGGTGAAAAGATAATCAATTTCACCTGCCTAGTTTATCAAAAAAAAAGAAAAAAGAACAAAGCATTTCTTCCCATTAATGGAGTTTGTACAGAAAACTAGCATTCTCTTCTACCCGGGCTTGGTTGGGTGGGGGTATAGACAAGTTTCAATCTACAAAACCCGACTTGATCCAACAGCAGGAAATTAAAAATTTTGGACAAGTATTGATATATTTGTACATATTACTTATTTATTCAAAAAAAGTGTTAAACTTGAAATGATAATTTTTCACTTTCTAAAAAGGAGTTTGTACAGAAAACTAGCATTCTCTTCTACCCCGGGCTTGGTTGGGTGGGGGTGTAGACAAGTTTCAATCTACAAAACCCGACTTGATCCAACAGCAGGAAATTAAAAATTTTGGACAAGTATTGATATATTTGTACATATTACTTATTTATTCAAAAAAAGTGTTAAACTTGAAATGATAATTTTTCACTTTCTAAAAAAGTAATTCCGTTGCCGGGACTTGAACCCGGGTCTCTCGGGTGAGAGCCGAGTATCCTAACCAACTAGACTACAACGGATTGGTGTGTGAATGTTCTTGTTCATAATATTAGTATGCAATTCTACAATGCAAGTACTCTTCATGTGATGTATACATCTACATGAGTAAGATTACATTCATACACTTTTATACAATATATTTTACCATCTCTCCATATTATATAATGATGTGGAGTTCACTCCCATTGTGAGTATGCGAAAAAAAATGTGATTGTAGAACTCTTTCTACATGCTATGCCAATTGAGGAGTGTTAAGAACACAAATATATCTTGCATAATGAAACCCAGATGTGAGACAAATGGTGGGATTCACATGTAATTTGCCTCACATATGTGTTTCTTGAATTATTCATGCCAACTAGTATTAACATTTACCTCCCACTATTTAATAGAAGTATTTTAGCTAGGATTGTAAAATAGGTTGTGTGGAAGTTAGTTTATTTATACCAAAATCAAGTCTACAGGAAAATTATTGTTTAAAAAAATTAATTTGTTTGGCATATTTTTTTTAATTTATTAACTTTTTTAATGTTTTTTTTTTAAAGTTACTGAAGTGAATTTTTCGATGAAAAATAAGTTGACCAAATGAGTTAATATTTTTTTTTAGTGAAAATGACTTTTTCCACCTTTGGTTTTTCTATTTTTATTTTCATTTTCATTTAACTGCATTAAATACCATTTTTTTCACTAACACAATAGGACTGAGCAAGGAACCCATATAATCCGTAATCCGATCTGGTCTAGTCCAATCCGGTAGGATTGGATTGATTTTTTGAATCCGTGATTCGGTTCCGGATTATAAATTTAAAAATTTGTAGGCCACGGATCTATTCCGGATTGAAATCGATCCGGACCGTATACATTTAGTCTATATTTATACCATATACTCTCCCATCTAATATCATTTCTTGTTTCATATAAAAGCTAAACACTAACCCTAATTCATCTCACACGCTGCTGAGCTCACTCACTCACTACTGTCTCTCACACTCTTATCTCTCTCTCTCTCTTCTCTTTTTCATCCATCTCCGATCATCATGCATCTTCGATCATCATTCATCTCCGATCATCCATCTCAGATTTTCAATCTCACACGCTACTCACTCACTCACTACCTCTCACACTCTCATCTTTCTCTCTTTGTACTCTCTCTCTCTCTCTCTCTCTCTCTCTCTCTCTCTTTCTCAGACACTCTTAGATCCTCTATCTCTGATCATCCATCTCAGATCTTCAACCTCACTCGCCGCTTACTCACTGCCTCTCACACTCTCATCTCTCTCTGTCGGTACTCTCTCTCTCTCTTGATGAGCTCCCTCTCTCATTCTATATATATATATATATTATATTTTATTTTTGTGGGAATCATGTTCTATTTGCTGATTTTTCCAGTCCCAATTTGTCACATTTGATGAATAAATCTATTTGATGTCATTGATGATCTGTTTGATGATTTTTCCATCTTGTGTTTTTATGTCTTTGATAATGAATAACATTGTTGATCTGTTTGATTGCTCTATTTTTGAAGCCATATTATTATTTGACAACTCTTATATTTTGTTTTTGTGGGAATTATGTTCTGTTTGTTGATTTTTCCAACCCCAGATTTGTCACATTTGATGAATGTTCAGTTCTATTTTGTTTTTTAGCCATATTATTATTTTGTCACATTTGATGAATGTTCTGTTCTATTTTGTCACATTTAATACAATCCAACACTCTACTTTGTGTAATGTAAATCCAGTTTTAGGAGAAGTCTACAATGGTTATGTTTTTTAGAAATTAAAATGTTATATATTTTTTTGTTATTTAAGTATGTGAATCCGTGGTCCTAAATCGATCTAATCCGCGTTTAAACGGATTGGTTCGGATTGACTCCACAATTTAAACCGATTGAATTGATTCCAATTTTTTAGGAACCGTATAAAACGGATTGGTTTTGGTTTTACTCCAATCCGGACCAATCCAAACTATGCTTACCCTTATAACACAGATAGGTTATGATATATGGGTTGTTCCATTGGACTAGATGATTTGAAAAGAAAAAAAAATGTAAATCTCTTTGTTGTAATTATTTGTTTGAATTATTAAAAATGACAAATAAAAAGAAAACTGAGAAATATTCTCTTAAAATTTATTTTTTAAATCCCTCCAAAAGTGAAAAAGTTTGAAAAAAAAAAAAAAAAACCACATTACTGACTTTCTTTTATAATACGAAAACTGCCATCTAAACACAAAAGAAATAAAAGTATAATTTTGTCATTCGTTAATCAAAACTTGTATTTTGCACCAGTAAATTAGCTTTCTTGTTCATAGAAATCAGATATTTCCTGCTCTCATTGTTTCATTATCCATTTTTAAATGACTCTGTACAAAGTTCAAAAGAAGAGACTAAGGTATAAATTATAAAAAAAATTATTTGAAAAAAAAACATGTTTTAAAACATAAATGTAAACATGATAAATATAGGAATGAATGAATTTTTTTTTTTTGTGTGTGTGTGTGTGTGTGTGTGGATAAATTACATAAAAATAAGATTTATATAAATGAATGGTAAAACACATGAAGATATATATATATATATATATATATATTTTGTGCATTAGACAGGAAGGGAGAGTCTTGTCATGGGAAAGATTTGAAAACTTTTGAAACGATAGTTAAAAGCTGACTTTTTTTATTTTTATTTTTTTTTGGCTTTTAAAAAAAATGTATAAAAAATGTGAGAGATGATGTAACTCAAAATGGATTAAAAGTTGAGAAATGATTTTTAACTCACTTCCCAAAAGAGACTTTAGGTAAAGGGATTTTTTTGGCCCGGTCCAGTCTAAATTTATGAAAGGATTTTAATGTGGACCATATGGAGCCCATGTCACATATATGATGTACTTTATGCTTCTCAGCACCCTAACATATTAGAATGACTTCCAGTGCATGGGACAACTAAGAATTTTCTGTACACATTGTCTCTTCAATCAAACAAAATAAAATTTGAGTGATTGTCCTGTCCATTCTCAATAGATTTTCAAAAATGCTATTCTTCATCCTTGTAAACATGACATATACATATATATATATATATTCAACTTTTATCTTAATAATCTTTCTAATCGAAGTCGGTTAACTAAGGACTTGTTAACTTGTTAGAAGTGATTATTTACGAGTGTTGAAAAACAAAATTAATGTATTTGGTAAAATTTCCTTATAAACATATTAGAAATTTGGAATATCTATATAATTATCATTTTCTAAGATTATTATTATTATGAACACATGTACAAACACCTTGTCACTGAATAACTCACTCATCTTGTCATCTCTTTAACCTTAAGTTTGAAAATAGGTATAACTTAACGTGAGTATGAATGGACTTGCGTGATGATAAGCACCTTTGGATGTCAAAAAAATAAAATAAAAATAGACATTCTCGTTAAAGAAAGCAGCCTAACCATTTAATGACATAAGGTTGCGATACGATAAGAAAACAAAATCAACTGTTTATAAATTGTCAATCATTGAGAGTTTTAAGATTTTTCTTAATTTTTCTAAGATTTAATACAAATATTTAAAACTATAGTTCTTTTACGATTATTGATCATGTTATAGAAATTTTCATTTCATATTACAATGCAAAGGATTTGGATCCAAGTTTTTAAACCGTGTTGGCAAATATGGGTCAAGTTGCAGCCTTTGCTACTGCAATATCACCTGCTCCGCTTCCAAAATTAAGAACGATGTATGAGGAAGCATTAGAGCACCTCCAGTAGTGTAATTTATTATGACATAAACATTGTATTTGGTTGAAAGATTTGTAAAGTGATTAAGAAAAAGAAAGAAAAAAGATAGGTAAAATGTGAATAAAATACATTTACATTTCATATAATTTTACACATATTTTTCTTTTCTTTTTAAATCACCTCACAAATCCCCCAACTAAATACCGCAAAAAAAGTACTAAGAACACATTCCCAATAGTATAATATTCATTTGGCACGACAGGAGGAGCACTATGCCAAATTTTAATCATTGAATACCCTTTTTTTTTATTAAAAATATATTTTAAAGGTATTAGTACTCTTTTGGCAATCCAAAAAAAGCCACTTCTTTTTTCTTTTTTTTTAAAATTTTTTGTTTTTAGTGTTTTTTTTTTTTAATTTTGTTAAAATTTTTTACTTTTCTGGTTCGTTTTGTTGAGACGAATTAGAAAAGTATATTTTTTGTTTAAAAAAAATCCAAAACAAAATTGAAAAAGCCAATATAAGCCAAAAAAGCTACTATTTTTTTGCCTTTTTTTTGGCTGTCTTTTTTTGGACTTGTTTTGAAACTTTTTTAAAATTATAATTTTTTGGTTTGTCTTGTTAAGCTAATCTAGAAGTTTAAGGTAGCGTTTGGTAGAGTTTTGTAAATGT